CTCACCCCCAGGGGGAGATACCTTTGCTTTGTTACGCTACTTTTATCTTAACTTATTTTATCTCAGTTTATTCTTTTTTTTTTTCTTTTTGTGGTAAGAAGGCTTCATATGAGATCTACCTTCTCAGCAAATCTCTGCACACACAATAGCGTCCTGCTGTCTATGAGCTCGATGCTGCACACTGAGTCTCGAGGACTTTCCCCTTTTTTTTAAATTTTCTTAAAGATTATTTATCTGGGGGACACAGAGAGAGAGCACAACAGGGGGGCGAGGGGCAGAGGCAGAGGGAGAAGGAGACTCCCCGGTGAGCGGGGAACCCGAGACGGGGCTCGATCCCAGGACCCCAGGATTGTGACCTGAGCCGAAGGCAGATGCTTAACGACTGAGCCACCCAGGCGCCCCTAGAGGACTTTTTCATCCTGCAAAACTGTGAGTCTGTCCTCATTAGACACTCACGCTGGGGAATGAGGATCCCCCCAGCCCCTGGCACGCAGCACCTGCCCATCTGATGGCCCTAGGGACCCCGTGTTCGTGGAACCACGCAGGATTTGTCCTTCCATGTCTGGCTCATGTCATCAAGGTCCACCCACATCACACAGCAGGTGCCGAACGTCCTCTGTCTTCGAGGCTGCGTCACGTTGCACCGTGTGCGTGGACCGATTTCTGTTTATCACCTGCTCAAGTGACTGAAAACAGAGCTACCGTATGATCCGGCAAACGCCCAGTTCTGGGGATACCCCCGAAAGAATGGAGGTCAAGGCCTCGAAGGCATATCGGCACCCCCGTGTTCAAGCTGCATTAGGACCAGCAGCCGAGACGTGAGAACGGGCCAAGTGTCTACGGAGGATGAGCCGATGCAGAAATTCTGCAGGGTCTGAGAAAGCTCCAGGTGAACCTCTGGCCCGCCCCACCCGGGCTGTGCCGGGCCTGTTTGTACAGGACCATACACCCCATCTCTGGTCCTACAAACTGTAGGGAATGCAAGCAGGCCGGACCTCAACTCCAGGCTGTAGGGAAACAGTGGCCGGCTCTCCCCCACTCGCCCCAAACGTTCCTAAGCTCTGTCTCCTTCCTGCTCAAGACCCTCACTGTCTGCAAGAGCTCTGCTCCCCCCTGCTCCCCTCTATGACCCCAAGACCCTCACTGTCTGCAAGAGCTCTGCCCCCCCCTTTTGTTCCCCCGGGCCCTACCTGGCTGTTTTCCCCTCATTGTCCTCACTGTGGCCTCTCACAGTGAGGGAGACCCGGGAGGGAGACATGCCTGATCCCCAGCCCTGCACCCTCTCTCCCTCTGCTGTGCACACAACCCTCCACGCACACGCTCACTGTCAACCATTGCAGACAAGTATCCAACTTAGCAGTGGGAATCTAGAAATGAATTCTGCATGGCCCCCGCCTGTGGAAGACAGAACGACGCCCCCACCCCCAAATATGTCCACATCTTCACCCCCAGAACCTGTGCACAGGTCCTGGGGCTTTGCAAACAGGGCATTGGGGTTTGCCGATGGCATGAAGGCTGGCCATCGGTGGACCTGGGCGGAGGTGGGCAGATGACCCTGGGCTGTCCTGTGTGGGTGGGCCCAACGCAACATGGGTCCTTCGGTGTGCAAGAGAGCCGCCGAGTAGTGAACATCGGGCAGGAGACTCGAGGGTGCTCAGCGGGCTTTGCAGAGCCAAGGTACACAGGGCTCCAGGAGCTGGAAAGGGCCAGGGAAGGGATCCAGCCGGGGCATCCGTGCCGGGAACTCGCCCTGTGCACTCCTGGGTTTGAGCCCAGGGAGACCCGTGTGGGACAGACATGCATGCACACCGCTGCTGCAGATTGCTGGGCTGGGGCTCGGGTGTGACATGGAAAACCAACACACTACCTCTCTCCTAGCTGGATTTCACCCCCGCGTTTTGCAATGGGAATGTCGCTGTCTTAAAATAGTAAACAGCCAGTACCGCCGTCCCTCCCCCGGGGCGGGAGTCTCCAGGGGCTTCGTTCCTAAAACGCTCATGTGGCAAACCTTCAAGGGAAGCCGCGCTCAAGCTTTCACTCCACGCTGCATGAAATGCAAGCTCTAGATTCGTCCACGGAGCCTCAGGCAGCGGCCCCCTGAACAGATCGAGGCGAAGGACCGTCCCTCCAGCCTGTTCCTCCGCAGAATGGCAGAGGACGAAGGTCTCCAAGAGGAGGGTTTGGGGGCCGTAGGAAGGGCTAGGTCGGGGAGAAAACAAGTCTCGAGGGGTGGGTAGCATCAGCCATCATGACGAATCCCACCTAGGGGGCTGCAGACCCATGTGGGGGGCCCTTTGAGGTGGCTCCCTGAAACCAAAGCTGGGGAATCCCCTCCCATTAGCGCTGCCCACCCTGTACCACTACGACTCCACCCCAAACCAAGACACGGAGCCAGGACGCAAGGCCTAGTTGCCCCAGGAACGGTTTTCAGGGTTCTGAGCGCAGAAAGCAAGATTGCAAGCACGTGTCCTTCTGTCTGTCCCGCCGGCCATCCTTCACGTGCTTCTGCAACGCCTGGAATTCTTTTCACCAAGCATGCCTCCGTTTAAAAACCCTAGTCGGTCCCCCTCTTGCCCCCAACCTGCCCCCTGGTAAGGGAACATAATAGTCCTCTCAGGGATGCCGTCAGAAATACCCCACATGGGGCAGATTCAGAGACAGATATTTATTGATCCCGGTCCTGGAGGCTGGGAGTCTGAGATCCAGGTGGGGCTGAGGCTGGGAGTCTGAGATCCAGGTGGGGCCGAGGCTGGGAGTCTGAGATCCAGGTGGGGCTGAGGCTGGGAGTCTGAGATCCAAGTGGGGCCGAGGCTGGGAGTCAGATCCAGGTGGGGCCGAGGCTGGGAGTCTGAGATCCAAGTGGGGCCGAGGCTGGGAGTCAGATCCAGGCGGGGCTGAGGCTGGGAGTCAGATCCAGGTGGGGCTGAGGCTGGGAGTCTGAGATCCAGGCGGGGCTGAGGCTTGGAGTCTGAGATCCAAGTGGGGCTGAGGCTGGGAGTCTGAGACCCAGGCGGGGCCGAGGCTGGTCCCTCCTGAGGCCTCTCTCCTGGGCGTGAAGATCCCAAGTCCTCCCTGTGTCCTCATGTGGTCATCCCTGTCTGCGTGTCTGTGTCCTCATCTCTTTTTAGAGGAACCCCAGTCCTCTGGGATCAGGATGCCCCCTATTGACCTCATTGTGATTTAATTACCTCTGTATAGACCCTGTGTGCAACTACACCCACATTCTGAGGTCCTGCGGGTACAGTGTTCCAGCATGTGAGTTTGGGGCGGGGGACACACTTCAGCCCGTGATAGGAAAAAGACCTCAGGAAATATACAATCATCCAGGTGCTTACTTGGGAATAACAAGCAGTCGGAGTAAGCTTTTCAATCATTAATAGTAAGCGATCCGTTTACAAAGTAAAATAAAATAATATGAAATGTATCCAAAGAAAGCGACACTTGAATGTACACCCTGTTCTCACCATCAACTTACCCATCCCAAGAGGCGCCCTGAATATATTCAGGCGGAACTTTTTTTTAATAACATTTTTTTCAAAAATGTATATTAAAAAATCTGTGAAATCCCCTGCAGTGACCAACTGCGCCCTGGGGCCCCCCCACACACACCTCCCCGGGAGCCCGCTGTGAAAAAGAGGAACCTTTTCCATGCCCCGGGGCTCCGCCTTTCATAACCTTTGTGCGTTTAATTAAATCTGCCGATGACAGGTTGCCGTTACCAGCCGGCGGCTGGGTCCCCTGGGGTGGAGGGTTGGGGACCGTGTAGAGTTTGCCGGGTGGGGGACGGACCGCCCCGGGCGGGGTCCCTTCTCTAAAGGGAGAGCTACCTGTGCACCAGCATAAGGGTCCCCACCGCACACGGCTCCGACTAGCTCCACACGGTCAGCTCGCCCAGGACCGTCGCCGTAAGTCAATGGGACCAAACGGGAGGTGGGGAGAGGCGCATCTGTGAGACAGAGTCCTGCAGAGGTGTCCCCACCCTGAGGGAGGCAGGGCAGACCCCAGGCGAGGGGACGCACCTCTCCACCTTACAGATGCTGCTTGATGGCGGGGTCCGTGGGCAGCTTGGGCTTTGGGATGTGCTGTTATAATCCCTGGTCACCCCAGTGTCCAAACAAGTGTTTATGGGGCGCACGGGGAGAGCGCAGAGCCTGCCCGGCCAGGCCTCAGGGCTCCAAGGAAACCCCCGTCCTTGCACATCTCAGGATACGCGAACCAGGAAACAGCTCAGCGTCTTGTGGGTTTTCACACACATCCTCAGCCTCACGCCCAGCGCCCCTCTGCCCAGGCGCCGTGACTGCCCCGTCTCTCCCAAAACGCACGCTCGCCTTCTTCAACGTGGGTTTCCCCAGAATTCTCTGAACACCTGCCTTTCCCGCTTTCTTTTTCTTTTCTCTGTTTTCTTTTCTTTTCTCGGTCTGGGTTTAATGGGGGGTGGAGGCATGTTGTTTTCAGTTTTTATGCGCCGTACTTAGCATGGACGGAGTGCTGATGGCCATGCCGGCCCCTTTCCCCGGGGTTGTGTGCAGGGAGTTTCTGACCCCTATTGTCCCCAATATGGGGAAACTGAGGCCCTCACGGAAGGGACCGGCCCAAGACCCACACCCAGAAAGGGGCGCAGCAGAAGGCTGGGTGCCTCGCACGTGTGGGGCTACCGTGGAATGACGGTGTGTTGGCTGAGGCGGGAGGCGTGGTCTCCGCAGGCTCCCTGGCTGGAATCAGGCCCCTCTGGAATTCTGTCCCCCAACGAAGGGCACGCCGGCTCCTGATGGATGAGGCACAACTCTTGGGGTGGCAAACAATAGACGCTTGATTCATGCCTTCTTAGGTCAAAGTGGAAATTGTCTAGTTGGGTAGTTAGGCATTTCATGTCAGCTTCAGGCATGGCTGGATCCAGGAGTGTAAATGGTTGTCAGTTCCTGATCTCTCTCTCTCTCTCTGTCTCTCTCTCTCTCGTCCCCTATTTCAACTCTGCCTTCTTCCACCTCCCATCACTATAGGGTTTAGGGTCTCTGGAGGAAGTCCGCTTGCCCTCTGTGCAAGGAAAGAGGTTCCCTGGCAGGCTGGACCCCCTCTTTGGAGAGCAGAACCCAAAGGGACCAGCGCCTCTTGAGGTTTGTGATGGATCGTGTCAGGGTCAGAGGAGGGTAAGTCTTGGAAAAGTCCCTATGAGTGCAGGGAGGGGGTTCTGTGATGGGACACGCTTGGGCCACATCTCACTCACATGTGATTGACAGTCCTGTGTGAGGGGACCACGAAGCACAGAGAGGGACGGGGAGAAGGGGGCTGGCCTCCAGGCTCCGCTGCAGCAGGGGGATGGCGGGCAGAGTCCGAGGACCTGGGGCAGGGGGCCAAGGGTGCAGGAAGGGGCGCTGGGCGAAAACGCACACCGGCCCCTTTCTTCCGTTCATGCATGCACGGGCTCACGCGGCATTTACGGAGTGCATCCTGTGTCCTTCATTCCTTCTCTCCCTCATCCGTTCCCCCGTGCGTTCCCTCAGTGCGCACGGACGGGAGCGGCCCGTGTGCCGTTTGCTCCCTCTGGGTGCGTTTAGCGAGGGCGCCCCGCGTGTCCGGGTCTAAACTCAGGACGGAGCTGTGTGTCTCCTGGGCGTGGCCTGGAGGAGAGGACCCTCACCTCCCCGGGCCAGCAGTCCCGATACCGTGCCCTGCGGATGCGCACAGGTGCTCAGACAGGACGAGGTGCTCGCTGGTCGGGGGGGACAGAAGACCAGCGTGGCCGGGACCCCCCAGACCTGTGCCAGTCCGAGGGCTGAGAGGCTGCGTTGGCAGAGACAGAGTCGGGACACGGTGGGGGGCCTCGGGGAGCAGGTAGGCTCGGCCGAGGGGCTCCTGGGGGACTCCCCAGACACGGGGACACTGCTGACACCCTCTGCCTCTTCTGTCCTTGTGTTCTGAGCTGTGCCCATGCCCCAGGCTCACACCCTGCCAAGAGGCAGGGGTGAACTCACCTGATGGCGGATCACGGCCAATGGTCTCAAGTGAGGACTTGTCCCCGCCTGACGGAAACCCGGGGCTGGTCACGGGCAGGTGGGTGCAGGCCACGGTCTTGGGCCGGCCCCCTTCTGCTCCTCAGCACACGGCATGGCCCCAGAAATGCCCGCCGGGGCGGCAGACGCTGAGACAGGACAGCCAGACTCAGGGCACGAGCAGGTCTCAGACAGGACGGCCGGCGCCGCGCACAAATCGTTGCGCCAGACACATCGCCGTCTCTACCCGCGGCCGGGAAACGTGCGCCTGGGTCCTCGCTATACCTCTCGCTGGCTGCTCAGCTTCCTGAAGGCCTCCGTGCCTCGGTTTGCCCACTTGCGAGGCGTGCGTTTCCAGGACGGCTCGGGGAGAACAGGTTTGCAAACACCGAATGTGGGGCACGCCCAGGAGTACCGCAGACGTGGTCTGAGGGCTCACAGACGGCTCAGCCCGAGCCTTCCCGCCAGCCCCGGGACACGAGCCAGGAAGAAACTGTCTGCGGCCTTGGGACAGAAGGAAATGAAAACGACAGGAGCCCCCTGGGAGCCCTGAACCCGCAAACCCTGGCTTCCCGAGGGGAAAGTGTTATGTCACGAGTGAAGGCAGATGTTGTCACCCCTTCCTCTTTAGTCCGGTCCCGCCGCGGGTTCGACTGGCCACGGCAACCACAGGCCAGGAGACGTGGGTGTCCGGCTCCAGACACCCCAGCCAGGACCCTGGGGTGCGGACGCCCGAGACCAAGGGAGGGAAGTCTCAGAAGCTGGGGTGAGCAGGGAGCCAGGAGGACACGGGAAAGTTCAACAGAAATGTCTTCAGGCTTTTTCCCCGCCGCGATCCCCCAGGCCCTTTGTTGTTATGCAGTTAGAATTCACACAGCACACGATCAGCCCTTTAAAAGTAAGCCATTCAGGGGGCATTTAGTGCATTCCCAACATCGTGCAAGCACCACCCCTCTCTGGTTTGGGAAGAGTCTCGTCGCCCCACAAGGAGACCCCTTCCCCACAATGCAGTCCCCTCCCCGTCTTTCTCTGCAGCCCCAGGTGACCACCAATCTGCTCTCTCTCTGTGGGTTTCCCCTTCTGGACGTTTCACCTAAATAGCATCACACAGAATGTGGCGTTTAATGTCTGCGTCTCTCCCTGAGGGTTGTGGATTCAAGGTCCGATTATGTCGTAGCGGGTGTCAGATTTTCACTCATTTTCCGTGGTTGAGTAATATTCCTCTGTGTGCATGGACCATCTCCTGCTTAGGCGTCCACCCGTTGATAGAAACGGGGGTTGTTTCTACCTTTTGGCTGCTTTGAATAGTGCTGTTCGGCACATGCGCGTACATGCTTGTGTGTGGACATATATCTTCATTTCTCTTGGGGTTTATGCAGGAGCAGAACTGCTAAGTGGTAGATAGATGGTAGACAGAGAGATAACAGATATAGATGGATAAGTGCATGGACAGTCTAGGTAGGTGGGTGGGAACACTCACATGCAATACTTCGCCCTCCATTGCCTCATTTCAATGCACAGTTCACCATCCTACTGCAGGAAGAGCTCACTTTTTATCGAACCCTCCTTCGGAAGGAACCAGCCCTGCTGACCCCTTGATTTGGGACTTTCGGCCTCCAGAGCTGGGACAGAAAGTTTCCATCATTTTAAGTCCCCAGCTTGTGGTCACGTGTTGCCGTAGCCACAGGAAAGCAATACTGTCCCATCTTCCCTGGTGGAAACTGGGCTCACAGAGGGAGGTCCCTGTCCGGGGCCATCCCGCTCCCACTGAAAGAGCTGGGACTTGGACCCAGGTCTTGCTAACCAACCCCCCCTACCCAAGGCTAGGCTGCTCATCACCAGGCCATCAAGCCTCCATGGACACACGGCAGGGCAGGCCACCTATTTCACACGGAAAAAAAATGTAAATGGGTCCATTTAGGGGACTTACCCCTCCCCCAGCCCCAAGTCACCACAGTTTTCCTTCCATTCATCTTAAGACACTGCTTCTTTGATGAAACAATAAAGCAAACATCTCATTTCATATAAATTTTAACTGTGGACGGGGGGCTTGGAGCAGATGAGTTTTAGTTAACAAGCAAGGTTTTTCTTAAGCAGAATGACGAATTATACGTCGAAACGAGGCAAGCAAGGGGAAATATTTCAGGCAAAGGTGCTTCACCTCCTCATCCATTTATCTAGACAATCCACCCACCTATCCATTTGTACCTATCTGTCTATCATCTACGTATCAACCTATATCCATCAGCCGTCAGTCATCTATCTATCCATCCATCCATCTATCCATCTGTACATGTATATCTGTCTGTCTATCCATCCATCCATCATCCATCCATCCATTATCCATCCATCTGTCCATCTATATTGATCTGTTATCTATCCATCTATCCATCCATCTATTTATCTATCGATCTGCCCATCTGTATCTGTTATCTACTTATCCATGCATCTACCCATCTGCATGCCCATCCATCCATCCATCCA